TTAATTATATAATTAAATTGATGAGGCATCGATTAGCGAAACATGGTACGTGGTTGAGTCAACAGTTTTTAAACATAATTTTCTATTACTGCTTAAGACTGCACAGCACCACATATAATATGACTGGTTCTTCCCTGTGGTTAGGGGTCTTGGTGTCTCTGAATTGCCCATTGTGTGTGTGTGTGTGTGTGTGTGTGTGTGTGTGTGCGTGTGCGTGTTTGAAGTATGTTTATATTACATTGTGGGTACCAAATGTCCTCCACAGTGTAATAAAAACCTATTATTTTAACATTGTGGGGACCATGTTTCAGGTGCCCAGTTTTGTTTGGTTACTTATGGTTAGGGTTAGGGCTGAGTAAGGGTTAAGGTCATCATGTTGTGAACAGAGTTTTCTCCATAGAAATGAATGGAGAGTCCCCACAAAGATATAATAACAATCCTATGTGTGTGTGTGTGTTTGTATCTGTGTGTGTGCATGTGTGTGTGTGTCTGTGTGTCTGTGTTTGTATCTGTGTGTGTGTCAGTGTGTCTGTCAGTGTGTGTGTGTGAGTGCACCATCCCTTGCTTAGTGTGACCCCCATCTCCTGTTGCATCTCGTACCCACAGCCTGCGTGTGAATCTGGACATGGGCAAGATGGTGTTCAGCTGGATGATCCGGAAGGATTCCAAGATCCCCGGGACCGTGGTGCGGGCCAGTACCATCCCGGAGCAGCTGGGCCGCATCTCCTACCTGCTGACCGACAAGACAGGTGAGTCGCTCCGAGGCCCCCCCGCTGCTGCCCCCCCCCCGCTGCTGCCCCCTGCTGACAGGGGGACGGACTGTCACAATAGCTGCTTTCCTACATTTTCATGAAGTCGCTTCTGTGCCTCGTCATACTCGAATAGCCAGTTTGCCCAGTTCTAACGAAATTGAAAGTAACAGAAAAATCTCTTTATCAACTTTAGCCAGAGTCTTACTGAACACTAAACACAATATTAATAGTAAAGAGAGTTTTGAGTGCAGATATCTAGTCCTCCTGCTCTTTGCTGCGAGTGTAAAGATAATGTGATATAAGACCAGTGTTTTGATGTTTTAGGCCGTTTTTATTTGGTTCCTCCTTCATTGGTCCTGTTCACTTCTTATCTTAAAATCACTTTAAATTCACACTCACGTTATTTTTTTATAGCAACGATCGTTCCGGAAATAACAGCAGTTCACATTCCATAGCATCAGCCCACTTCCCCCGTCTGTGGTTTCTCAGGTAATCATGACCGTCACAGGCTGACCCAGGACCATTCCTTCCTATAGTAACTTAGGGCAATAGAAGTTCCTGTTGTGTGTGTTTTAAGTGAATACTGGTTGTTTATCAGGAACTGCAGATTTCCCCAAGCAGGGGGTATGGGGTTGCCATATTGGTTGGCATGGTGTGAGGGCAACTACCAGTTTTAAGGTAATTAAATAGTAGCAACTTTATGCAACTGTATATCATGGGAACCAAAATTTAAAGCTGTTATTGATAATGAAAGTAGGGAGTGATGTATTTGTTTTAATATTTATCAGATCATATTGTTTAGTAAATGTTTATTTTTAGGAATGGGCAATAGTATAGCCCAAGGTTTGGACTTTGGATGTGCAGGTCAGTGTCATGCCAGTGTAGCTGTAGCCAGGACTGCACATTTATGCATTTTTATCTATTTTGTTGTTTTGATGTAAGTTTTTGGTAGATATTTAGCTGTTAGAAAGTATTATTTTTTGCTTATTCTTTTGTATTTTGTTTTTACTTAATCTTAATGGCTCACTGCACTGGGAGAAAATAAATCACCTTGGGCTCAACCTCACCTTCCTCTTTCTTAACCTCAAACGCTGGGTCCCATCCTAACAGCAGCCGCCGAGCATGATGGGTACTCATGTTCTTTTTGTAGCCCGCGGCTTGGAATTCAATGTCACAGAAAGGTCAAGTTGCTGCATTTAGATCACACGCCGGTAGAAAGCGGCCGGCCTGACGTGAGGCCCGTCAGCGTGATTCACAAATGGTCTCCTGCCAAATCCTGTTAAATCTTCCCTCCTCTCCTTGTCTCTATGTGGCCGAGATGCGCTTTGAAGTGCGTAATTACTCACCTTTTATAGGCGTTTTGTATGGATTACCTCTAAAGGCTGGGAGCTGATTTATGACCTATTTAATACCGCGTTTGTTACCTCCGGGATGAGGTGCGCAGTCGTCTGGGCCCCGTGGCCCCCGAGGCCCCCGAGCGTGTGTGCATCACTCCCACAGGACTTCCATGTGCGTCTCACGGAATATGGCGGAGGACAAGAGGACCGCCTGACGCTTCACTGATCAGTTCTTCAGTTTACACCTCATACCAGTTCTATAGTTTAGACCAGAATAACCTGAAGCTTTCATTAACATGTGAGAGCATAGACTGGCTGTTGGCAGTGCGTCATTATTAACATTTACCTTTATTTCTGTTCTGTTTTCCTATGATTTTTATTGTAATTGTTCGCTTGAAGGAGGCAGCTTGTCAGCCCCACTGTCGTCCAAGCTTGGTGGTCACAAATCCTGCCTTGAGCTCTTCATCTGAGCTGCAATTCCATGCTCCCCTGCTTTTTGAGTATAGCTCATTGGGTTTGGGATCTGTACCAGTGCCCAGAAGGTCATAGGTTTGAATTCTGTGGACAGCAGACAAGTCATGTCACTGTTAGGCACTTGAGCAGGGCCCTTAATCCCAAATGCTTCTGGCTTTCCCTGTTCTCAGACCCCACAAACCGCCGCTCTTTACTGTGTATACATATGCGTCTGTGTCTGACATGGAGAGGTAGATGGGGTATGTGTGCCCAGAGCCCAGTTTCCCCTCTGGGATGGACGAAGTTCCTCTGGTCTATTCTGATGCCCTTCTGCATCACGTGACAAAATGATAGTGCTGTTCTATTGAAAGCAGAGTTTGACTCTTATTTGGCTGCTTGCATCTGAAAATATGCTTTTAAATTCATGTAAAATCCCCCCCCCCAATCAGTACATGATAAAAATTCATAGAAGCTTGACTACATAACTGTCAGCACCAACAAGGGCTTTTACACATCAGCGACAAACATCAGCTTCACCCTCCCTCAAAATTTTGGTAAAATACCATATAATTGCAATATGTGAGCAGCATAATCTCAAAAATCTGACTCTTCTAGGAACACAATTAACATTTCCTGTTTGGTCAGTGCGCCTTTTATCAGAAGAACAACAGTCAAGATGTGAAAAGTGGAGCTACCTGCCAGCCTTATTCAGGTTTTATCAGAGCATTTGGTTACAAAGCAGGCAGCCTCTGGACAGCAGAGCACACCACCAAATGGCAGCAGGAAGATGAGGTCAGAGATTTCGCAGAAAACTTGAGAGTTTTCTTCTACGTACCGATGATGGTGTGGCACTGTCCAGGGACGCGTTGTGGTACCAGCTAAATGTGAGCAGAACAAATTCTGAAAACTGCTTGGAAGGAGCTGCCTGAATTTTTTGCCAGAGAAGGGAATCAAATTGGAGAATCCATAAACTTTTCTTTCTTTAATTTATATAAATTTGTAGTGGTCTAGCTTTGCATTACCTGAAAATAACGTTTGTTCACATTCAGTCTCAGAAATAACCTGTGTAGTTTTCTTCAGGATCAATGTATTGTCTGTCTGTCTGTGTCTGTCTGTCTGTGTCTGTCTGTCTGTGTCTGTCTGTCTGTGTTACTGGCCCTATGGGAATCCTTTCTTACACGCCTTCATTCAAGCATTTACAGTCTTAGTGACATGACATTCTGCTTTAATCAATGTACCCCCATAACACGCACAAGTTGCTCGTAAAGGGCCATAAGTTTAAATAGTTCACAAACGATGGATCTCCTGCCGACTCAAACCTCCATCTGAGCTGAAATACTTAAAATCATATTTGTGCGTGTATGTGTGTGTGTTTTTTTTCCCAGCCAATATGTTCTGCTGTCACTACCCCTTGATTTAGGTGGTGATGGATGAACTGCTGGGTTGCTCGAAAGATGTGGAATACAGTCCTTGGGCAATGAGTCATAAGAGGTGGAGTGCGTTTGTGTTCTCAGACTGCCAATGATCCGTGACAGAGGGTGCAATTTACAGCATCTCTCCTTCCGCCTTTGTCCAGAGGACGCAGGGTTATGGACAGGCGAGAGAGGTAGCAAGAGTGAGACACCGCCCCCCGCCACCCCCCCGCCACAGCCAGTGGCTCTGTGCCACACTCGGGGACAAGCCCCCTTAATGGACTCTTAAATCAAAATGGGGGCTGTTAAGGCTTTTATCCAGGGCAGATCTGTACTTTTCACACGCCAAAGCACCTTGAGAATTACACCCTGCCTCAAAGTTTATGACCCTCACTGCCTGCAAAATGATAGAATTCCCTCTTCCTGCTCTAGCTCTTGATTGGAATTAAAAGGTGTGCAGGTTAAATGTCACGTTCGTGTTCCGGTGGGGAGTAAAAGCTGTTATTTTCGCGGAGCCCCCCTGAAGGCACCCTAATATAGCAGCCTGGGGGCTTTAAGCGGAGTGGCCCTTCTGGGGGGGCGTGGCGGCAGTGCAGAGAACCTGCCACTGAACTCTATGTCTCTGTGTCATTAAATCGCCATTAGCAGGGATTCTTGCTTGGTGTCTGTGCCCTTTGTCCTTTGGCCATGGCAACATCCGCGTACCAGGCCGATAAATTCCACCAGCGAGGCTCTGATCCGTCAGCAATGTGGGCTGATTCTTGAAATGGCTCCGAATTCACGAGCGATTATGGTTTATTTCGGTCTCTGTCAGTTGTGATAAATTAACGTCAAGTCACACGCATCAAATGAAGTCGAAGAGCATATTTCCAAAACTCACGGGGGATATGTTTTCGAGAATTTCTGTGGACTGAGAGAGTTTTGTAAATTTACCAAAAGTTCTTCTCCGGATTACAGGAGGACGGGTTGAGTTTTGGTTTTTATCATATGATGAGGAAGCCTGACTTTAGGTCACTGATTATCAACTGGCGGCCCGCGGGCCGAATCCGGCCCATTGAGCCGTTCAATCCGGCCCGCGACTGGATTCCAAAATTGTGAGGATCAAAAAGAAAATAGTGGTCCACTCTATTAAAGCAACTAAAAATAACAACAACTGAGTCTCTTGTCAGAATAACCACCATTTATGACTATATTTAGGCTATGAAATGGAAAAAGTATAAACATTAAACATAATGTTAAGCCAAAATTAGATTTTTATTTGATTTTCTTCTTGGGGGTCCAAGGAGACTGTCTGGTAAAACTCTGGCCCTCTGACAAATATAGTTGATGACCCCTGCTTTAGGTCATTGGCATCTCAAAAATGGAGGGAGTTTTGGAAATTTTCTGCAGTACATTGGATAGCTAGGCCAAAGAACAGTTGAACAAAAAACACTGAATAATAAATAATGGATTAAAATAACAATACACAACGTACACAACAATGAGTGTAAGAAAACAGTGGGTGCCAGACAGTAGCCAGGGCGAAATAACATTATAGTGCAATACGCCTTTGGAGACCTTCCCTATCAGCATTAATGAGGTAGGTGAGCTTCGATAGCCTGGGGAAGAAACTTCTGTTTGTTCAACTTCCGCTAATAATTTTAATCAAGGCTCCTATTTCGGTAGCTCACCATTTTTTGCTTAGTTGGGGCGCGAGAGCTAACGCCCGTCCTCCTTTGCAGGTACTCTGACCCAGAACGAGATGGTGTTTCGGCGCCTCCATCTGGGCACCGTGGCCTATGGCATGGACTCGATGGACGAGGTGCAGAGCCACGTCTTTAGCGCCTACACTCAGGTGAGGACGGGTCAGCTCGCCGTCGCCATGGCAACTGGATGATGAGCGCGGGCGGCAGTGTGGCCTTCTGCCAAATTCTCAGTATCTTCTCCTTAAATTCGTCCTGAAAGCTGGTTGTTCGTTGCCTTCCTGTGGGGTTTGTGTCTGTTTGTGCCAGCTGGCTAAGCAGCGGTACCTTAATGGTGTGGTGTGGTGCCAGTGGGAGGAGCTCCTGTAGGCATTGTTGTAAAAACCAACTGGCACTTAATTATCCTTTTGAGCAGATGCCCCCTGACCTCCTCTGGCTGCCCCTGTCCCTTTGACATCAGGGGTCAGGGCAGCAGGAAATGCGATTGGCCGCTAGCTCGGGTCCAGCTTTAGCTAATTTATTAGCTTCGTCATTAACCCCAAAAACACAGTCCTAAAAATAGCCCGAGCTGAATGTAAAACTTAATTGTTCATATGTTTTCTCCACATCTGTTTATGTTTGCCCTGACTGATGTGAAATCGATGTCAGAGGGAGCGACCACCACTTAATAGCTTTCAAAACAACCCAGGATTTTGTTTTGTTTTTTTAGGGTTTGAGAAACTTTTGTTTCTTTCTTCTGTTTTTTTTTTTTTTTTTGCTTAATAACTTTACTGTGAAAGACTTGTCCTCAAATTGAATTTGGTGATATTCTGCCATCTGGCATTACCGCACAGACGCCGTTCCTCAGCCCCACCAAGATAGTTGGGTTTTTTTTTTATAAACCAATAAACCCGATTTAAAGGTTTGAAAGGGCCAAAAACATATATCTTTGTTTTCTATTAAGTCAAAGTACTGTTTTCTTTGCCAAAGTCCCTTTAATATGAGTCAGCTGGCGGAGGAGCCGGGTTTGAGTCACGCTTCTGCTAACAGGGCTGTCTCCCAGACTTTTCTGGTAATACTACATGAATCTGAGCTTCGGCCCCCCATGTGATGCGAGTTTCTGCGTTAAGGTGTGATGCATTGGGTTAAACACCCCTGCCGTGCGTCTGGAATTCATTCGCACAGGCTAATTATTTTCATGGCCCTTTGTTCCGGTGTGAGAAACGGATTCCTGTGCTGCAGCCTGGAAGTCATTTTTTTAAGCTTTTTGTTTAATTTGACCGTGGAGGTGGCCCAATATGTTCCTCACAGTAGCACTCCTTGTGACCCCCCCCCCCCCCCCCCCCTCCATTCCCCCCTGCCACCCGGGCAGCCCCCTCACGACCTCCCGGCCACAAGGGCCCCGGCCGCCACCAAAGTGCGCAAGACCATCAGCAGCCGGGTGCACGAGGCAGTGAAGGCCATCGCGCTGGTGCACAACGTGACCCCCGTGTACGAGTCCAACGGCGTGACGGACCAGGCGGAGGCGGAGCAGCACTACGAGGATGCCTGCCGCGTGTATCAGGCCTCCAGCCCCGACGAGGTAGGCGGAAGGCCTCCAGGCTAGCTACCTAAAGTGTTCCATGGGTTGCATTTTATTTTCCACATTCACACAAAAAACTGTAAAAAAGTGTAAAAAGAAATCTCACCAGCTACTGAGATATGTAACTTGGGTAGCCTCGCTAACCCTTGTAACTTGGGTAGACTTATGAGTAAAGTGCATAATTTCAGTAGAGAGACTCTTGAGTAAAGTGTGTGACTCGGGTATGGAGACTCATAATTAGCGTGTGTAACTTGAGTCAAGAGACTCATGAGTAAAGTGTGTTATGTGCATGTTTACGTGCAGGTGGACTTACAAAGGGGTTGAGTTTCCCTGCTGTGAAAAGCGGTTATCACCACAGCTTGTGTGTGTGTGTGTGTGTGTGTGTGTGTGTGTGAATGATTTCATAAACAGGAAGTGAAAAACCCATGCTCGCTGCTGAGCTGACAGGACAGCATGGGCAACCCCATACTTTCCACATCTTTGCCTGTAAACGGCATCACCTGTGCCTTACACACACACACACACACACACACACACACACACACACAAACACGCACACACACAAACACGCACAGTCCATGTATTCATATCTTTATGTGGACCTCAGTAGGTTGAGAACCCCGTACTGTAGTAGACGCCCACCAGAACACCATGTACGTTGTTCTAGTAACAAAAATTGTTAAATAAATGGGTCAAACTGCAAGAGGCTTTGGACAGATGCGTTCTCACATAGGTAACGTACAGTAGTGACACTGGCTGCTGTTCTGCTTTACACTGTTTAGTTAGTGGAATGCAGGCCTCTTCGTCGCCTCACAATGAATGCAGACCGTATCCCTACTGCGTCCTATCTTACGGTTACCTCTGTGATTCTAACCATGCCAGACCATCCGGTAATGGGTCTATAAATGCCATTTTATGCAGGAGGCTGTTAATTTGCCAAAAGGGCAGAAAATGAGTCACAAGGTTCCCAGCACAAGTAGGGTATGACTGGTTCTGGGATATGACCCTTGAATCTTGTATTCTGGACATGGCCTCCCCAGGATCGTTGGATCTTCTACATCAGGAAGTCTGTATTCGGGGCCAACCTTTTCCTTGTGGGCTGTTGCTGTGCGGTGCTTGTTCATAGCTAAACATCTGTCTCAAGTGTCGCCAATCAAAAAGCAGTCAGTGGTTCGAAATAATTGACGAGTATGTTTCTAAAACTCCCACGGGATACGTTTTTGAAATATTCTGTGGATTTATTGAGTTTTGGGAATTTAACGAAAGTTCTTAGTTGGATTTACAAGAGGAGTGACCGTCCAGACATTGTAACATATGATGTGGAAGCCATACGCTGACTGTCTCAACTGATAAACATCAAAAAATAGACTGAAATTTGCTCTTGAATGAACAGAAGTATGAAGGAAGAATATAACCACCGTGCAGAAGAAATGTAACTGGCAAATTGAAAAGAAAAAGAGCAGAGTGAGAGCGCGTTTTCCGTGGTTGGGAGGGGGGCAGCTGTTGGCAGACGCAGATAAGAGCGGCCTGGTACATCTGCCGTCTGCCGGAGGCGGGTAACGCCACCTTCCCCTGCCCCCGTTTGCTGAGACGTGAGGCCTGGTGTGGGGTCGCAGGACAGGACTGTTTAGCCACAAGGCAGTTCGGAAGGGCACTGTCGCATCCTGTGTGGGCGCTAACGGACAGCCCGCCTCCGCTTCTGAGGCCCACCTGTTGGGGGCGCCACATGAAGGTGCCCATCATTGGATGCTGCCCCCTCCTCAGTCTGAGCCCCAGCCAACGGAGGCCCACTCAGGAGAAGTTCTAGGATTTTTAAAAAATTATTTTTTTTTAAGTGGACTTAATTCATAGAGAAAGACCAACCCTATTGTTAGCCAATAATACGATTTGAATCTGTGAGTGACAGGGGAGGGGGCACTGCAGGGGCCAATCGGCTTTCAGCTGGGGCCAGTGCCTCTATCCAGCAGGGGAACTTGGCCTGAGATCATGTCCGGCCTCTGGTCTTTAACATTGTTCTGACAGCCTGGGAGTGACTGTGGATCCAGTTGGACGGGGACAGATCACCAAGGCTGGCAGATTGGCCGGGTATGTGGGACTGAAACGATCCTCCCCAGCTCACACAGGCTGGGGAGTCAGACAGCTGACCTTAAATCTGCCAGAGAAATCAAAAAGAAATCATCTCCTGCCTTCTTATCTCTAACTTACTGGCCAGTATCAAAGTAATCGCAAGTCAGTCTTTAATAGTCAGGGTCTCTCTTATTTGGGTCAAACTGAAAACAGTTCTGTAGCTCTCCCCAGACCTTGATTACAGCAAGTAATACTCATGATGATCAGTGCAGGCAGGCTTTGAGGTTACCTCAGGTCACACTCAGAAGTATTCTGTGTTCTCATCTGAGCGACATCTCGCTTCGGCGAGGAGGCGATAACTCTGCATAGGGCTCACTCACACTAGGCCTGGTTGCCTAGTGTACCATGCCTGAGCACGACTGTTTGCCCTCCCCCATCCACCGCTATTCTGGCCACATATTGCACTTAACAATCCTGGCCTGAACACGCTTTTGTCATCACTGCGCGACTTTTTTTGTTGAAGAAAGAATAGGAAGAAAAGCCCTATCACACAGCACAAGGGAGTTTGTGATTAATGTTCTTATTTTGTGCCTTATTTGGAGTCGTTTTGGGCATGATGACACACGGCCCTCATAGATTTTCCGAGTATGCGACACATTGATTTTCATTTACCCATGCTGCACATATTATAAGAGTCCTGTATTTTGCCCAGTATCTCAGAGTTTTTATCTATAGCATCCTGTTGTTCCTGGATACTCTCATCAGCCCAAATTTCAGGCAAACACTGCATCTCTGCTGTAGACCAAAGTGATCCCTTTGCCATTATATTTGTTAAATGTTTATTGCTACCCAATCTGTACACCCTACCCAATCTGTTCCTTCCGGGTCTGATTTGTGTATAGTGTTACATCATGGACGATATGTCTGTGTTCCATGTTCAGGTGTGGTTAGCGTTCACGCTAGTTGTGCACCGTATCCCAGTCCGACTGAACTGTGCCTGGGCCTACCTTTTCACGTGGGCTCACGCACCATAAGGAGTGATCACGCTAGTCAAGTGAACTGGACTCTGGGGGTCAAACGTGCTCGGGCACCATAAGGATTGATCACGCTAGTCAAGTGAACTGGACTTTGGGGGTCAAACGTTCTCGGGCACGGTACAGACCACTCAGTGTGAGTACCGAAAACAAATTATTATTGCTATGGAGAGCAACATGCGGTAGACAAAAAGACAATGTCCTCATAGGTATCAATGAAGTATCACTATCATGTTTTCTGTTCTATTTCTGTGGCATTAGCTTAGCTTCCATAATATACCCAGTCTGCTCCACACACGCACTGGAAAGATTCAGTTGTAAACGTGAGTCATGTTTACTTAAGTGTGTTGGCATTCCCTGAATACACAGGTCACACCTATCTCTGACTTGCAAGCAAACTGCCAGACGGAGGTAGAAAAAAACACCCTGCTTCATCAGACGGATGAAGGAGACCTCATTAAGGACTCACATGGGCGTGCTGACAAAGTGACTCACCGGTCTGGGCCACTCATTGGACTGTGTTTTGTTTCTTTTGGGGAGTTACACATTTTTATTGGTGTGCCTGTTAAATGAGCCATGTTTTGCTGTAGTCATTAATGCTCTTCCTAATAGCATAGATGAAGAATTGTGTTTATATCCCAGTGTGGGGTTACATGGGGGTTTAGTTGTTCTCACATCCAGGGTTTGGAGTTTGATTGTTCTCCACTCACTCTAGATGTGTGGGGTGTACATGTTGTCTTCCAGGTACCTTCACCGAATTGAATTGAATGGAATTGAATTGAATGGAATTGAATTGAGGCTGTATTTGCCACAAATACAAAAAAAAAAAAACATTGGGTTTAAGATAAAAAAAAAAAAAAAACATTTAAAAATTAAAAAAAACAAGACATATAAAAAGCTGCATTCAGGTTTTTACTATAAAATTAAAAAAATAAATAGATAGAAAGATAAAGGAGGTGCTTGAGTGTTAGATAAATATGGTGATTTGAAAGTCTGAGTCCAGTTTGGCTGTGACTTTAGGGTAGGAGTGAAGTACTCCAGGGGCCAATCGGCTTTCAGCTTTCATCCTGAATGTCCCTAGCAACCGGCCTGATTGCTGCCAGAATGATGGAGCTGTGAAAGCATGTCTTGTGAGTGGTAATGCTCTCATGTCTGAGGCTATACCCAGACACCCTCCCTTACCATACGCAGTTATGGGAATTGGTGTGATTGTGTGTGTTAGTCTGTGAGCTGGAATCTCATGCTATCCCATTCAGAATGTCCCTATATTTCCTGGGATAGGTTCAAGGCTCACTGTGATTCAGAACTGCAGTGTTTCTCAACCTAGACTTCAGGTATACTGCGAGCTGGGACTGACTGGGGGTGACTGGACTGAGAAACACTGCTGTACTGAATAAACTGTTAAGAAGATAGAGGAATATCTAAGCATAAACACTGATCAGTTTGTACTTGAGAAGGTAAATATTGGTTGTATTAAGATTACATTCAAGGTTCATAGGAACATGTTTACCAGATAATTTTCTTTACTAATTTGTCTCCTCAAGCCACCCAGCATCTCAAACACATTAAGACTTTCTCACCAAAACAATCCTGTCCATCTTCTGCCTGTAGGTGTCACTGGTGCAGTGGACAGAGAGTGTGGGGCTCACTTTGGTCGGGAGGGACCAGTCCTCCATGCAGCTGAGGACTCCTAGTGGACAGATCCTGAACTTCACTATCCTGCAGATTTTCCCTTTCACGTATGAGAGCAAACGAATGGGCATCATAGTGAGGGTAAGTGATGTGTGTGGTGATGTGGACCCATAGCTGCTCTGCTATAATGTAGCTGGGCTCGTCCTGGAATGGAGCTGCTTAATAATCGGTTTATGAAAAATGTATCTCTTTTTTTTTGGTAGCTTTTAAGTGAGATAATAGTTATTTTGAACTTACCCACTTATCCAAGTTTATATTGTAACAGCAGATGGAAACACAGCTTGAGGTCTTTGTTCATTTCCTTTGACCCAGTGAGTGTGAATCAGTGCCCTTTCTCTCTCCCAATCCATTTAAATTCTTGGCACGGAGGATGCGATGATATTGAAAGATTTACTCGCTCAACGTCGTTGGAAGGAAATAGTAGAGAATCCTCTGGTGTGTACCTGTTCGATCGAACCCGAGTCGCAGTTATCTGGGAAAGGTGCAACCTAGCGGTGACCCCTGCTGTGAGGAAATGCTCCAAGGACCCGCTGTTATGGTTGGCCGTGGTATAGGAGGACCGCTATCTCTCCGCTCGAGGAAGCCGGCGGTTTGAGCTTCGGCTTCCCTGAGGAAATCCCCTTGGGTGTTTTGGAAATCCCCCGTGTGCTCCCAAAGCATGCTGTCTGAAAAGCAGGGGAGCAGTCGGGTTTGTATTTCCTGGCTGGTTTACAAACCGGCCGCCTTTGGATATGCCTGAATAAAAAAAAAATAATAATCAATGTTCTAAAAATATAATCTCCTTTTTCTGTTTCTGTCGGAGGTCTGCAAGAAGGACTTTTGAAGATGTTCCTTTCATATTTAGAACTAGAAAATGTTTTGACAAATATCCCCCCCCCTAAAGACACTGTGGTGTCGTATTCCCAAACAATGTCTTTCCATTTCCCCCAGGATGAGTCTACAGGAGAGATCACCTTCTACATGAAGGGCGCGGACGTGGTGATGGCAGGAATCGTCCAGTACAACGATTGGCTGGAGGAAGAGGTATCGGCTCATTTCAAAGGCAGTCAGACTTTCCCGTGCGTTAGGCCACTGGGAGATGCCGTGTGTGAGGAGGCGTGGCTTAAATTTACGAAACAAACTGTGTTTAAAATTTTGCTTAAAAGGCTCTAGGGGCCCATGAAATCACTAGATATGTTCAAATATAATGTCTGCTCACTTATGTGTATGGACGTTCACCTTTTAGAAGTACAGGTTTAATTATAGGTCATTGTTTTTAGTGGTTTTAAGGTTTGTGGGCAATGTGGAGCTTGACAGATTAATGATCTGTGCCTGTGCTCAGAAGGTTGTGGATTTAAATCCCATTGCAGAGTAATCATCACTGTTGGGCCAATGTGCAGGGGCCCTGGACTCCAACTGCTTCAGGGCACGCTCATGAACAGCATGATGGGATATGAGAAAACTACCAATAAAGGACTGCTGTACTATTCGTTTTGGAACTGTTATGACATTGAGAAATAAAACGAGTAAAACAAGACCTTTGAAAGCTGTGTGCTGTGTTGGGTCTTGACCTTGGGTTGATCTTAATTTTCCTGACTGATCACAATTTGAGGATGTGCTCCTGTCCCGTTTCAGTGTGGGAATATGGCCCGAGAAGGCTTGAGGGTCCTGGTGGTGGCCAAGAAGTCTTTAACAGAGGAGCAGTACCAGGACTTTGAGGTGAGCCTGTGGGGTATCGGTGTGAATCACACGGGATGAAAAACAGGACAGGAAAACGTCCTTGCGTTCTGGACACAGGAAGTCTGTCAGGCTGATATTTTCTGTTGCTGAATAACTTAACCGTTTAATAAAAAAAATAATTTAAAAATGGCCTTGGATGCAATTATCAAAAGTCAGTTTGACCTTTCAACACTATCCATGTTTGCAAAATATTTGTAACATCTGTGAAAATCATTAGAAGTGAAGTGTGTGATTTTGCTGTGATTTTGAAGTCTGCAGTGCTGGGGGAAATGAGCCAGGGGGCGGTATAGCTGCAGTTTATGTTGACCCATTGTTGGAGATGTTCTGGCGGCAGGGGAGGGGAGCATTCCTGGGCAATATTCTATGTTTGATTGTGATTTTAGTGGACTCACTTTCGGTGTGTAAAGACCAGCTTGGAAACAAAACTACGTTGCGCCCCCTGCAGGAGGCTTGTGACCTTGCTCAACATTTGAGAGAGAAGTGTCCTCCGGAACTGAATAATTGCCCTCTAGCGACAGGGAATGTGGCCTCCAGCGGGTTTTGGTACCTTCTGCCAGCGTCGTCCCCAGTTGCTCTGTAAATCTTTGGGTGGCAGTGGCCCCAGCCTGCCCCCTGACTGACCCCGGCCCCTTTAGCGGCCGTCCGTATGTGTGCCTCTGTGTCCCGCGCCTGTGATCGTACGGAGGCAGTGGGCGGCGGTGAGTCACGCGGTGAGTCACCGCAGAGTGTTCCTACGTGACTCACCCAGATTGTTTTGGCCTGATCTCAGCTTCGATTTTTTGGCCTCATTGCCCGTCGTCGGGGTCGGTCGTCCCAAGGACTTCGACCAACTGTCCGTGGCACTTCAGATACACGTGTCACCCTTGGTCGATGTTATTCGCCCCTTTTCCTGATCCAGGGACCCTTCGGTTGCCCCCATAATACCTCGTCAGTCCAGCTGTGTCCCCTTGACTTCGATTCCAGCTTTTCTAATAAGACTTTCAAAGAGTGAATTTGATGTTATTTACCGGAAAGCTGCAGTTATTCAAGTTAAAGTCGGTAGCCTCGACAGTGGGCGGTTCCCCCTGCTGTCAGCTAGGGGCGCTGTTGGCCGTCTGCACTGGACAGCTCCCCACAAAGGCGCTGCTTGACTAATGCCCTGAACACTGCCTGGATGGATTAGAGACTCCTCGAGCAGGAGCACTTGTTGTGGAAAGCCTGACTGCGTGTCTTTGCTCTATTTCATTTTGTGCTCTTATTTCACAGGCCCGCTACCTCCAGGCCAAGCTGAGTGTTCACGACCGCTCCCTGAAGGTTGCCACGGTGATCGAGAGCCTCGAGATGGAGATGGAGCTTCTGTGCCTGACGGGCGTGGAGGACCAGCTCCAGGCCGACGTTCGCCCCACGTTGGAGATTTTGCGCAACGCCGGCATCAAGGTGGGCGCCGTGACTAGGGAGCACTACGTTTTAGTTTGCGGTCGGCTCGATGGTGTCGGTCTCCTGGGACACTGTGGCCATGACGCCACTGTCTCTTTCCCTTCAAGGTCTGGATGCTGACCGGGGACAAGCTGGAGACGGCCACCTGCACGGCCAAGAATGCGCATCTGGTGACGCGTAACCAGGACATCCATGTCTTCAGACCTGTGAGTGATCCAACTTACTGCAAGGCCGGTCCCAGGCATGAGCGAATGAAACTCAGGGCCCCCTCACCAGGACTCCTCCATCTGATCACCCTGTCCATCAACATGAAGATGGATACAAATAAGTAGGTTCATCACATTTTGCTTAGGGCCCCGAAAAGAGTTCAGTGAGCCCTGCACCCACACCCCCCAAAATGGCCACTGCAGAGAAAGTATGAAATTCATTCCCCCAGGCATTTCCTGTGGGAGTGGGCGCGTCATTGTTCCATGCGTCCTACTTCTCACTGCCCCCCCCCCCACCTCCAGGCTACCAAAGATAACTGCCCTGGCTTTGTACGTACTGGAGGGGCCCAGAGGCCATGGGGTGGGTGGGGGGGGGACAGAACTCTCACTTCCTAATTACCTTCCCAGATCCTGACTGGCCTTCCACTGCGGATGCCTTGCGCACTGCGCCGGGTGGGCGTTGGGTCAGGGCAGGCGGCCGTGGAAGGTTAAGGCCGCATGGTTCCTGAACGGGGACAAACAATGGCTGGCACCAGATGAAACCTGTGGTCCTTTTCCCGCGTGGGTGCAGGTTGGGCCTGAGCAGCTGCCCCCCCCCCCCCCCCCCCCAGCTGCTACAGGGACCCCAGCAGTACATCCTCTACACGGCCGATAATATCATTTCCTCCCAGCTGAGAATCCTCTCACCGTTTTTTCCCTTCGCATTCTTAAGGTCAGGTGCCCAGTGCCAGCGCCAGTCCTGAATATTATCTCATCGTGCCGCTTGCTGGGGTGACGGTTTGGACGCGGAGCTCGGTGCCCCCCTCCAAGCATGGTTTCCCTGCCTCTCGCCCCTAACGGCTGCCTTCCTGTCCCCCCCCCCCCCCACCCCAGGTGACCACGCGGGGGGAGGCCCACCTGGAACTTAACGCGTTCAGGAGGAAGCACGACTGCGCTCTGGTGATCTCTGGGGACTCGTTAGAGGTGAGGTCCCCCGGAGGTGACATGGTGACACGCTCGCTGACAGCGGGGGCCCACGCATCCCCAGCGGCTGTGATGTGGTCGGCCCCCACTGCACGGTGCTTCCCACTATCACTAATATACGGCTGGTTCAGTGAATATGGCCTCTACTCCTGCTTTAAAATCCCGCCCCCCCCCCCCCCCCCCCACCCTCATTCACTTGCAGGTCTGTCTGAAGTTCTACGAGTACGAGTTCATGGAGCTGGCGTGCCAGTGCCCCGCAGTGGTTTGCTGCCGCTGTGCCCCCACCCAAAAGGCGCAGATCGTCCGGCTGCTGCAGGAGCGCACGGGCAAGCTGACCTGCGCCGTGGGTAAGCCAGCAGTCGGGGGCGGGAAACACAGAACAGGCTGAGGCTGTGCAGAAGAGCAATAAACAACACAGGACAATAGAGAATGAAATAATATACAAAGTAGCAGTCAAAAGTTTGGACGCGCCCTTTGAGTCCCAAGCCACAGAGCTGCCACCCACCAACAAACACATTTTTTAAGTTTGTAGCTTCATAATTCCGTTTATGTTATTTTATAGTGTTGATGTCTTTATGATTATCCTAAAATGTAGAAAATAGTACAAATAAAGTTTTCTGTGGGTATGTGTGCCCAAATCTTTCAATGGTACTGTGTGTGTGTGTGTGTGTGTGTGTGTGTGTGTCTGTGCGCACATAGCTGTTGGGTGAATTAGTGTGCATGTCCTGCGGCAGCCTGATTGAATTGAAACTTTAAAGTTTAAAGAAGACAAATAAGAGAAGACTATGACAGATAGATGATAGATGGGGGGGGGGGACTTGATTGCCATGGGGATGACACTTTTTCTGGTGACATGCAGTGCTGCTCTTGCTTGGTCCCTGTCTTCGGGGGTGGGGGGGGATGGGGGGATCAGCCATGATATCCTGGCCTGATAAATGGGAAACTTGCTATGCACATTGAAGGGAAAACGGAAGTTATGTCATTTGGCCGCTATAACTCTCGGGGTCCTGAGTACACTGGGTTTGTGCTGTGAGGTTGCCGACGATCTGCTGAGCTCCTCGCCGGGTCACCGCAGTTCGTGGTTTTTAGGCTGTCATGGTTATGTGTGACCCCATTTATCCGGGCCAGTACTGAGCAGTGTTTCATTTCATTAGACATAATTCATTATTCAAGGGAGCGCTTGTTTCCAAGGCTGTGTATGGATTAGACCCAATGCAGTGACCCGTGATCAAATAATTATTGTTGCGAGGGGCGGGTGATATCCAAGGGAGCAAATCATAGGGAGAATTTGGTCATCAGCTCAACCGTTAAATGATGAATTCAAGTCCAGGCATTAATAAAATCAGCAAGCACTGGGGGCCCAAGCACCTGGATAGGTTACTCCTAGGATTACTTATTGTTTAATATTTTATGGTTTCTAGAAAACAATCAAACTTGCACAGGACACTTACATTTACTTATTTAGCAGATGCTTTTGTCCGAAACAATATATAAGTGAGGATTAAAGAACAGGGTCAGACAGTTTTCTTAGAGCAAATGGGCTTAAGGGCCTTACTCAAGGGCCCAATAGTGACATCACTCTGACAGCCAGGGGATTTGAACCAATGACCAATCACAGAGACAAAATCCTAAACGGCAGGGCCACACACTCCATACTTGAAATGAAGCCCAGATGCAGGCAGGACCTTGGGTCCGGTTGTGGCACCGTGAAGTAACTAACCAACTGCTGTAATGCTTCAATAGGGGATGGAGGAAATGATGTCAGCATGATCCAGGTGGCGGACTGCGGTGTGGGCGTGGAGGGAAAGGTACGTGCCGGGCCTGTGGGCCGATCCTGAGCCTGCCGCCTGTCACAGTGATGTCCCTCGGTAGAGGGACAGCGCAGTCAGTGACGATGCTGATTGACAGTGATTGGTTAGAGAGGGGGAGACCTGTTACCTCAGACTTCCAGGGCTGGGGGGTTTGAATCCCAACTCCCCTGAGTGTGTGTGTGTGTGTGTGTGTGTGTGTGTTTGTACTTTGCATGTTCTCCCTGCATCATATGGCAAAATGGCATCTCTGAATCACCCATTGTGTGAGCGTTTGTGCCCCCTGTGATGGACTTGCTCCCCATCCAGGGTGTTCCCCACCTCACACCCCCTGTTTCCTGGGATTTACTCCCTGATCTCATGCCGCTTAAGCGGTTCGAGAAAACGAGCAGATGGTAGGAGTGAGTGTACACATGGCATGTACTGTGGATCCACACTTCGCCGAGCGATGAATTCCTAACGGTTTAAAACGCTGAGAGACTCAGCCATTCTGTGGAAAATCTGCTGTGCTGAGATTTTTAAACTGATCAGAATTAACTTCATTCAAAACGTGGTCTGCAAGAACTACTAAGAGTGTACAATAAGGATTCGTAATGACTATATCGTTTTATTCGACGTTTAGAGAGACTACCTTGGATATCAGCCATGCTGTGGTTATTTCAGAAGGATGTTTGTTTGAAGCCCCATTTCAGGTTCACGCAGGGCTGCCGTGAGGGAATGCCACTGGCGTAAGGCTGCTCCTCCGCATTCAAAGATTCCATTTAATTATCTCAGCGCTGAGCGCTCTTGTCCTGTCAGTAGCTACAATGAAACGTTTCAATCACCTTGACGTGGTGACGCTCTTCACGTGTAAGCACTTCTTGCGTCTTTAAGCTGAAAGGTGGAAGTCAATGGATTCTGAGACTTGACTTGAAGAACTTGCTTCCCTGGACTGATCCTTCCCGTCTGTAAAGGAGGCGGTTGCGTGGTTGTGGCCTGTTTAACGTGTGATGCCCAGATCACGGCATTGTCTGAAAGCATGAGGCATTGCAGGCAGATGTTGCATGACAAATGTAATTAGGGCAAGAACATCGAGTCCCGAGGATGAAGATGTGAAGCTTATGCGAGTGGGAAAAATCCACTGACTAATCCCCGATAGCGACAGGGCCACGAGAGAGACGGGAATCGATTTTCTCTGAGAGCCAACGAGACGTCTGAAGGCTTCCAGCCCTCGCTGGCTTTCGCCCACAGAACATCATGCTGTCTTTTTATAGACAAGCCATTTTAGCCTGAGTTGTTAGTCTATTCTCGCAGCAGAAATAGGCCGTCGGCTCGTCTGAGATGTCTGTTTTGGTTTTTGTTGTTTTTTTTGTTGGTCACAGGAGGGGAAGCAAGCCTCGCTGGCCGCCGACTTCTCCGTGACTCAGTTCAAGCATCTGGGCCGCCTGCTGATGGTCCACGGCAGGAACAGCTACAAGCGTTCGGCCGCACTCAGTCAGTTCGTCATCCACAGGAGCCTGTGCATCAGCACCATGCAGGTACGGGGGCAGGCGGGTGACTCAGCACAGCCGGCCCCGCCGGCTCCCCCCACCGCGTCGGTTGGCCGGCGATTGCTGGTTCCGCTCCCTTCCGCCTGCTGGCTCGCGGTGCGGCTCCTGTCTGGAAGCTCTCGCGTCCTGGCGGGAGCTTGGGTGCCCGCCTTGTGCTTCGTGCGGAATCGATTAGGACCCTGGGGCACGGAGCGTCGTCTGTCCTTTATGCCAGCGTGGCTGCAATCGCCTTTATCTGTTAGATACCTCTGTGTAACAGCATCAGGGGTGATTTTTAGGATTTTAGGGGGTTTAACCATATTTTTAGCCAATGATATGTTTTGAATTGGTGACTGACAGAAAGGGTGCACTCAGCGGACCAATCAGCTTTCAGCTGGGGCTAGTGCCCCTGTAGCCCCGCCCCTGTATAAGCCCCTGGACAGTAGGTTTTAAGATGGTGACTCTTCTTATGTTTACATGTCCTGTTCTGTTGCTTAGCAGATGGCTTAATTATTTCTAACCAGTATTCAGAGCTGCTCACACCCATAGACATCACTCAAGGCAGTGTCAGCTTCCTTAACCACTACGCCCCCTGCTGGAGGCTGAATCACAGCCACACCCACTGACCATCAGCTTCTCTCTTCCCCAGGCTGTGTTCTCCTCCGTCTTCTACTTTGCCTCAGTGCCCCTCTACCAGGGATTCCTCATCATCGGGTGAGCAGCGGCCGCGCCAGTGCTGACTAATGCCACGAGCATGTGAGCCACGCTTGTGCGACCCGTGGCTTCCTGTCGCATTCTTTTTGAATGACGATTGTTGGCCCCCGGGAGCCGTACACAGAAATTGCACTGAAACGGCCCATTTCACTGAAAGATCCCGAAACACTTTAAAAGCAGCACACTGCAGTGTCTTTGAAAGACCAAAAGTCAAAGTTGCATGAAATCATTAGTTATATATATCCATCCATCAATCCATCCATCCATAATGGCTTTTCCAGTACAGGATCACAGTGAGCCTGGAGCCTGTCGTAGGAAGTACAGGGCGGGGGACACACTGGATGGGATGCCAGTAAATCATAGGGGACAGATTCAGCTCGGGATGTCGGTCCACCATAGGGGACACACTCAACTCAGGATGCCAGTTCTTCATAGGGGACAGACTCACCTCGGGATTCTGGTCCATCATAGAGGACTCACTCAGCTTGCGATGCCAGTCCCTCACCAGGGATAGACTCAGCTCAGGATGCTGGTCCATCATAGAGGACTCACCACAGTATTCCGGTCCATCATAGGGGACAGACTCACCTCGGGATTCTGGTCCATCATAGAGGACTCACTCAGCTTGCAATGCCAGTCCCTCACCGGGGTTAGACTCAGCTCAGGATGCTGGTCCATCATAGAGGACTCACCACGGTATTCCGGTCCATCATAGGGGACTCACCACGGTATTCCGGTCCATCATAGGGGACTCACCACAGTATTCCGGTCCATCATAGGGGACACGCTATATGTCTGGATATATTTGGTCCATCCATCCTCCATCCATCCATCATGCTACAGGGTCACAATGATATCTGCTTTTAATTTCAAGCACATAGAAATATCTCAATAATTGTACTCACCAGAATCCGTTCCTGTGTCTCTACACAGCTAATATAGCCCACATGGTCGATAGGCAGACGAGTGCATGTTCTGAGGGTGAAATGACCACTTCTTGCTGGTGTTGAATATGTCCTATAATTACAGCCACAGCAAGACATCTGGTCTTTTTTAGATCTCAATGACAGTTTTTTGTAATGTTATAATTTCAATATTTTAACTTCTGTGATAACAGTGTACTGTGGGAGAGGTCTGATTTCAGTTCCTGTTGTTCCACATAAATGAGGAGTTGGCTTTCTGCTTGCACGTTTAAAAAATCCCAATTTAAACCTTAAAGATGATTCCAGATCGTTGTTTGATTGTACAATCCGCTCAGTCAGGAAATCTGTTAACATGCAATTTAAAAGGACATTGCAGAACTTATAATAAAAGCAATGACAGGCTTCAGCAAGTGCACTTTTTAAAGCACGATCTGTTGGGCTTTCTTGCTTTGTTTTAAGGTATAGGGGAGAAAATGAAGAGTTACCCAAAAAGCGAGTGATCCTCCAAGTGGAGATGCAGTGAATGTGCAGGTCACATCTGTTTAGAAACATCTGCTGGACAGTTGTTCATCGCATGTGGACTAACGTGAAACATGTGGCCGTTAAGTTGCTGCGCTATGGGGCTGGTCTGGACTTTAATGAGGTTCTGTGTGTTACAGCTACTCCACCCTCTACACCATGTTCCCCGTCTTCTCGTTGGTCTTGGACAAAGATGTGAAGTCAGAAGTGGCCATGCTCTACCCTGAGCTCTATAAGGACCTTCTGAAGGTGACGTGTGTGTGTGCACGTGTGTGTGTGTGTGTGCACGTGTGTATGCACGTGTGTGTGTGTGCACGTGTGTGTGTGTGCACATGTGTGTGTGTGTGTGCATGTGTGTGTGTGAGAGAGAGAGAATGAGAGAGAGAGAGTTTATACTTACCAAACTTAAGATTTAACTGGTTAAATCTGACTTTTTAGCCGTGGGGACATTTTTCAGGTCCCCACAATATAAACCTCAAAAATCTGTGACTGCAATCGAAAAACTAAAAATGCATGAAGTCTTTGAATTTTCTTTGGTTACTTATGGTTAAGGTTAGAGATGGGTAGGGGTTAAGGTTGTCATTGTTGAGAGTAGGGTTTTTCCCATAGAAATTAATGGATGGTCCCCACAAAGATATGAGCACAAATGTGTGTGTGTGTGTGTGTGTGTGTGTGTGTGTGTATACTCAGGTGTGTGTGTCCATGCATATCCATGTGGGTCCATATTTCTGTGTCAGGTTGTGTTTGTGCATTTTTAAAAAACCAAATGATACTTTATTTTGCAGTTTGCACAAGTATGAGTTCCGGTACACTGGAACTCTTTCAGTTTTCACATTCCCCATCATGCTCTCCTTTGAGACCCAGACACACATATACTGGATATATGCAGTTGAGAGAGAAATACAAAATAATGGAAATGATGCATGAAAAGGACTTCAGCATTGAAGTACCTATATCTCGATTACAAATGCAGCTACAAAGGTGAGTCATGTTATTCTGAATGCCAATTATCAGTATGTGTCCACTGTAAAGAGGCCTGACAACAAGCTCTTTGATATGTGAGCTTTTAAAGCGACATGAGGCAACTAACAGAGTTTCAAAGAGGCAAAACAGTCCGCACCCAAATCACAGGTGCATTAGTCAGAAAAAGGACAATATTACTTAATTTATTTAAAGGGAACAGCCTGAAAAATCGTGACGCCAAGCGGCAAACGCAAACTGCATCTGCAGCTGGTGACAACGCTGTCACCGGCTGACTGTCAGACACTTAAAGGGGTAGCAGGCAAAAAAAAATGCTAAAATGACCTCAAAGACGACCGCAGAACCTAATCAACAGCACTGTGACCCGATCTTGACCAAAACCGTAAGTTGTGAGCTCCGGCAAGCTAGATTTGGCAGGACCGCAGCTTGGAAAGCGTAGGAATCCAAGACCAACATGCAGAGATGCTTAACCTGGACCCCGGAGCAGCGGGGAAAAAGTAATATGCTCTGAGTCATTCTTCACCCTTTTTCCACGCCATTCATCCATGAAAGAACGGGGGGTTTTTCTCCTTGAAGGACTGTCCAGCTCTGAGGACTGGAGCTGTTGTAAAGGTGCTGCTCTTTATTAATGAATATATTGCTTCAGAGATTTTTTCCAAATCACATATGTGTGTCTGTGTATGTGTGTGCATACATGAAGACTGCGCTTGTGTGTGTTTGTGTTTGTGTGTGTGCGCACACACATTTTTGTAATTATACTTTGTGTTTGTGTACTTTGAGGACCAGATTTCCTTCCAATGTAATAAAAAAGGGTTACGTTTGACCTTGTGGGGACATTGTTCTGGTCACTACAAGGTTAACCACAATTTTGTAAAAATCTGTGAATGTAATCAAAAAACAAAGTCCTGAATTTTGTTTGGTTACTTATGGTTAAGGTTAGGGATGGGTAGGGGTTAGGGTTATCATAGTCAGGATTTGGGTTATGCCCATAGAAATAAATGGAGAGTCCCCATAAACATATGAATACAGTGTGTTTTTCTGTGTTTTAATCAGAAATTTCTGAATTTTAATCAATTATCAGAATCAAAAAGCTTTTTATTGGCCAAGGGATTTAAGTCAAGGGAGGTGATGCTACAATTATATAATTCCTTGGTAAGACCCCACCTAGAATATTGTGTGCAGGTTTGGTCACCATACCTTAAGAAGGACATTGCTGCCTTAGAAAAGGTGCAACGGAGGGCTACGAGAATGATTCCGGGTCTTATGGAAATGTCTTATGAGGAGAGGTTAGCTGAGTTGAATCTGTTTAACCTCGAGCAAAGGAGACTAAGGGGGGGCATGATCCAGGTATATAAGATTCTAACAGGTCTGGATGCTGTTCAGCCAAATGGCTGTTTCAATATTACTTTAAATATTAGAACTCGTGGCCATAAGTGGAAATTAGCGGGAGAACATTTTAAAAAGAATTTGAGGAAGCACTTCTTTACACAGCGTGTAGTTAGAGTATAGAATAGTCTTCCTGCTAGTGTAGCGGAAGCTAAAACCCTGGGTTCCTTTAAATCAGAGCTAGATAAGATTTTAACAACTCTGAGCTATTAGTTAAGTTCTTCCCAAACGAGCTTGATGGGCCGAATTGTCTCCTCTCCTTTGTAAATTTCTTATGTTCTTATGAAATTCTACACACATTTTTTTTTTTATTATTCTAGACTGTCTACCTACATTCAGAAGCAGCGTGTGATGGAATATAGGGTGAAATAAGCAAATAACAAACAAGTAGTAAATAGGGGTGATGTTAGGAAGAGTTACAGGATCCCAGTTGGATAAATGCATAGTGTCTGTTGATAGTAGGGCTTAGATTCAACGGATTTACTGTATTCCTCTGAGGCATTAAAAACGTCTGTCCTCCATAAAGAGAAGCAGCAGGATCTTCAGCATTGATGTCGGGTAACAATTGTGTCTGAGGGTGTAGATGTTGCCATTTATTGTCCACATCAATTAAAACACTGTCTTTATTCAGGGTCGTCCACTGTCCTTCAAGACATTCCTTATATGGGTGTTGATAAGTATTTATCAAGGTAAGTGTGATTTTAATGAAAATCTACATTTTAACGAAAACACTCATGCGACCTGTTGTGCAGTCATATTGTCCCTTGCCGAGGTGCATTTTAAGCAAAATTGAATGTAGCTATAGTAAGTAATGCACCAGCTCTGGGTTGGACGAGGGCTGGGAAGTCTGTGGGTTCGAGAGAGGGAGGGGCCTTTGGGAGACGATAGCCCCACCCCCGTCAGTAACTGCAGGCCTGGGTTCAACTTTCCCGGCACATTTTTCATGGGTTGGCATCTGCCTTGAACAATGCCTCACATTCCCTTAATCAGCGCCATAGCTGCTGGAGCTTTTCCATGTTTCTGTGGCCGAAAACATGGAATGTCCTGGGGTGGTGTTTTTGCTGTTCTTGGTATAATGTCAGGATGTAACCAGAAGAATCGGAGCATTTTTCGTTTGGCGCCACCCCCCCAATCCGCCATCACCACAGTGCCATTGATGAATCCGGTTCTGGAGCCAAGAGGGGTCAGAGCTGGTCCTCACGGGTGCATGTAACTGAGCCTGGCGGAATTAGATTTTTATTTTTCATTTGTCGAGTCTTTAATTTAGCCGCACACTCAGCCCCGTGGGACAGACAGCCGTACACCTGCGAGATATCATCCACGTTTCGGCAACTAAACAGCCGGAAGCATATTTTACATCCCGTGTCTGGGGTCATAAAAACACTGGTGGGGGGAGTTTATGGAAAAACCCAGAATTATGTGTGGGAGGGGCTGCTTCTGAATTTTCCATCAGCAAGGACTAGAAAGAGTGTCGACCAGCCCCTAATGTCACACGACTAATGTCACATGACTAATGTCAGACACGTGACTGTCAAATGACGTCCGAACAATCTGTGGCATACTTACAATGCCGCCGCATTATCCGTTCTATGTTACGCCACAGCCCTGGAGGGCACAGACGTTATCGATGCAGCAAACTCACAAAGGTAGCGCAAATAAACGGATTGTGGCGAGTGCGCGAGTGATGAATTTTAATAAATCGGATGATGGCTTGTTTAAAATGGAGATTGCTCTCTTCAGTAACATCCCGTTTGATTTAATACTAGCAGCAGCACAGATGGGATAACAAGTAAATGACATGACAGTCACGGTTACATGCTCACGGAACACTGCAAATATTACACGCCTATGACATTGACAACTGACATAAAAACACGAATATACATGTTAATTTAAACTATTCAAAGAGGAGAGTGTGGTGCAAAGCATGCCAGTAACTGCATAATTAGCCCAGCTGACCAATCCCGGGGTGTCACATTTATGTCAGCCAATCGTGGACAGTGGGTGGGATCAGAATAAACGAATAAGTTTGCCTCAGGGACCCTACAGAGGTGATGCGTCAAAACACAGATGAAACCTCAAACCACGTCGTATAGCCAAAACGATGTCAATTCTATTGATTTGGCTTAATATGACCCCAGTGCGGATTTGGCTTTGGCCTTAGTGCTGTGGGACTGTGCTGGAGGTCTTGGGGAGGGTGGAGTTGACTATGGGGCCAGGAGCTCTGACACTGATGCACCGTCCCCCCCCACCAGGAAGCATCATCATGTACGGGGCCCTGCTCCTCTTCGAGTCGGAGTTTGTGCACATCGTGGCTATCTCCTTCACGGCGCTCATCCTCACCGAGCTTCTGATGGTGGCCCTCACGGTGCAGACGTGGCACTGGCTCATGATCGTGGGCGAGCTGCTCAGCCTGGCCTGCTACGTCGCCTCGCTCGTCTTCCTGCACGAGTTCATCGGTGAGTCCTGTGACCCCCCCCCTCCCGGGTCACCCGCCAGTGCCTGTCTTTGCGTACATCCTGGCTGGCTGATCCCCTCGTTCCGGAACGTCCCGCGTGGGATCTGATGTCCGCCGGCGTCCGCTTTAATGACACCAAGCACGTCCTCCGGAATGCGCGGCTGTTCGGAAGACCCCCCCCACGCGACCACGGCACTCCTGGCCCGCTCTGCTGGAGCGGAAATTCCACAGGCTGCCACCGACTTTCCCCCATAATGGTCTTCGCGGATGGCCAAGGTCTCCGTGTTTGTTACAGGAGAGCGTAACACTCCGTCCACCACGCCCCTTCCATCTGATGGGCTCTGGCCGTCCATGAGGCCTTCAAACTGAACAGACCTCTCGTTGACTGTTCCCGTGCCCTAGAATGCCCTCCTCGGCAGCCCCTCCTGCCGACCAGGTTAAACATGTTGGGGTTTTTGCCCCCTCCAACCCAAAACATAAGCGAGATATTTTACCAAATCCGTCGGCATGGCTGTGAGCGGATCCTTCTGACGGCTCGGCACGGAAGATCCGCCCGCGCTCCAGCTCCCAACCCGCCCAGTGAGTCAGCCGGTGTCGATGGCCTTCTCAAAAGATGAAGTTATTTCTCCACACTGGCACCTCCCCCGAACCCCGGCTCTGGAGAAAGCCCCCATTGTGGAGCAGTGCAGTCAGCACGCACAGTCTGCTCCCAGAAACGGCTGTGTGGCATTTTTTGATGTAAATTCAGGCCAGAGGGGCAAATTCTGGAGGCAGGATACTTGTGGTGTTTGTCTTCCACAGAAACCATCCGTGAGGACCTACTGTCCCATGCTGTGTAGCTAGGAGAGAGATTTATGGATGGATGAATGGATGGATGGATGGATTAATTGACTGATTGATTTTTCTTGTTGCTGATCCCAAAGGGAATTGCAGGTATACAGTGCCTCCATATACATATTTAGACACTTTAAAGATATGTACACATCAATAGACAGTAATATTACAATAAACAGTGACAGTGTATGGACTGTTAATGAAAGTATCGCACACAATCCGTAATGCGCCGCTCAGATGGGGACTTTCCCCCATTTTAAATTATACTGCACTGTTCAAGGTGGTCAAAGAGCCCAGAAAGCCGGTTCCTATATAGGTGTAAAAATTCACAGTAGATTCAGAAGTAACTTTACAACCTACTGCAGCTGCTGTTTGACGGCCGAGACGATGCCGCGTCAGTCCACAAGGCCACATATGCTGATGCTGAAGATAAATCAAAGTAACAGCAATTTAGATTTACACAAGCGTTTAACACAAACGGCACCTAATTTGCCACCCCATTTACCATAAAACAGGCAAACGTCATTTAAACTTATAACTTGAACTTGTTATAAATATAACAATGGTATAATCTGACAGAACAGGAGTATAAAATTTTAAATTGCATCATTAGTAGCCGTTAACCCTGTTTTCTTTTTGCAGCTGGGATGTTTTCATGTGTCATTTTTTTTAGTTCCTTATTTCTCCTGTCTTACATTTACATTTAAAGCCACTTCCCCCTCTGGTCAGAATGGTTTAGTCCCGACGGCCGGTCAGACGGATCGTGCTTTAGTGGTTCAGGAGTGGCCACATGTAAGCAAAGGGCGCTCGGTGATTATGGCTTTGTGGGGCGACTCACACAGGCCGACTCCATGGGTTTCCAGACACAGTTTTCCTGTGTGTTATTTTGGGCCTGAAAGTTATTTCTGGATACCCCCCCCCCCGTGAGTACTGGTGCACTCCTGATAATCTTCTCCCTCATGCCCGGTGTCTGTGCGTGCCAGGTCCACCGCCGCGCTTATTTCCCATCTCATTGCGCCCACCTGAACTATGACGTCCCCTAATCAAACCGACCATCTGAAATGATCTCAGGTGTGATTGTAGGATTTTTTTTATCTCGCCACTAAGACCGTGCTGAGACTCGGCTCGGCTCGGCAGTCACGGTCGACCCAGGCTGAAGCGTCCATCAGGCCTCGTTTCCACGCAGATCACTCTTCTGGGCACAGAAGTGAGGTTTAATCTATCTGTACCTCACCTCAGCAAAGACCTGCCAGTGCACCCTGTCGAAATGTGATCATTTTCAAAATGTATTTCTTCTTAAAACAAAAAAAGAAAAAATATTCAAATGTTCTACAAACAGGCTGTAATATATCGTGTATCATCGGTAGCTACATTTTAACGTCAGTTTTAAGGTGAATCCTGACCACTCTGGCTTCCAATTGCCGTATTCAAGACGAGTCCAAGATGGCTCATCTGAACCGCTCGATTAACCCACACGGTGCCATAAGAGTGCCCCCACTCAGTCTCACCCGCTGTCTTCATCTGTGTCCCCGTTCCAGACATCTACTTCATCACGACGCTGTCGTTCGTCTGGAAGGTCACCGCCATCACCTTGGTCAGCTGCCTGCCCCTCTACTTCCTGAAGTACCTACGCCGGAGGTTCTCCCCTCCCAGCTACTCCAAGCTGACCTCGTAGGCCGGTGCCGGCCCCCAACCCCTCCCGAAACGTGACCCCTGCCGCCCCTCCATCCAGAGGCTCACCGTGTCGAGGCTAATTGCAGTGTCGGCACTGGTTTTGGTGAGGCTATTGTGCTCATATGTGTTGGTTTTTTTCAGAGGTGAAAAGTTCAGGTACAGAACATGAAAATCCAGACCAAGGTTTTGTTTCAGCCAACCAGTTGAGTATAAAGAGCCAGCCACAGCGTATTCAACTGGTTGGCTGAAACAAAATCTTGGTCTAGATTTTTACTTTCTGGGCCTTAACTGTCCACCTCTGTTTTTTTTTTTTTTGTTTTAATTGTTGTGGAGGAGATAGCAGAATTATAGGGACTTTGAAGTCATGGAACGGTTATCAGTTCCGATCCCCAAATTCTTTTGTGCCATTTTTTGAAGGCAGATGAATGGAGACTGGGTTTGATTGGCGAACTGCTTTTGACCAGGCAGCCCAGACTAGCTATATATGCCAAAAGAAGTACCACCAAACCTATCAAACACAGCATCACTGGGAGGCCAAGGCTGAACCGCGTGGCGAGGTTTCCGTGACACCTTGGTGACATCCTAAGTATGCTGTTTTTCCGGTGGTCGTTTGGCAGTGTTACGTTTTTATTCTTTGCACTTTCTAGTCCTTTCTGCAGTGCGGAGCAGCTGTGCGTGGACCCGCTGTTTACGCTGCTGCCTTGCAGACTGGGGTGTCCAGGGTGGGAGAGATTTAGGAGACTCTAGGGACGTTTAACAAACATCCAGGGAATGTTTCTGCAACTTTATTTACCGGTGCACAGGTCTCTAGGCGCCGCATAATTTATGCACACTGAACATTGTGTACTTTAAAAAGGAAAAAAAAAGGAAATATACAAGTTTGCCAACATTAGGCCTAATATAGCCACTGGTGAAAACTGGAATTAACAGATTGCTATGAGATGTTTTTAACATTTTTATGAAAATGCAGATTTTTTTTTCCCAAACATAGGAGGTTAAGTCCTTAGGTATCATCATATGTGGAATTATTTTGCCAGAGGAATTAATGCAGAATTATTATGCGCCATTGGGCTACAGAAGGCTTCTGATGAGCCGGGCCCTGTTAACTGGGTACGCCGTGTTTTTTCGTGCATGACGCAGCTTTTTGACACGGAAGTGTGTGTCTCAGCAGCTGGTCGGAGTATGACTCACGCTGCCAGAGCGACTAAACCGCTCAGCAGGCCGCTCGGCAGGCCGCTCGGCAGGCCGCTCAGGGAGGCCTTTCGAGCATCTGGAAGGCCTGGTCTACCCAGAACCGCAAACAAGTTACTATTCGCGTGTTCCACCCACCCCCGACGTATGCTACGCAGCCGCTGAGTGGCGTGTGCTGTGTCTGTGTCTCGCGGTCACCCGTGACGCCAGCGTGACTAAGCCGTATGGTCGTCGGCTGCAATTACCCCGCCACACGCCTCCCCGACCGTGACTGTGGCGTAAAACCCCTGCAGTCCACCCCCAGGAATTCTGCAGAACGCGTTGTTTTAGAATAGCGCCTTTTATAGTGAACACCTGTAGAATGTAACCCTTGCGTGCATGGAAAACAGACGGCAAGGAGCCAAGTGCATGGCGGAAAGCAAAGGGGGCGGGGCTAATCTCAGATTTTTCATTCAGCACTATCAGGTAAACAAGTTTGAGTGGATGGACAACACTCAAATCCTTAGTTTGCTAGACCCTTTCATCTGCAGGTTGGATAATATGGTTCAAAGATACTATGTGATGCATGTGTCCTTTTTACCCTGTTTGTTCTGCAAAATATTAAAGATGCGAAGGTCCTGTAAAGGATGTCATTTAAGATCATGTCACAGACAGGTGAAGCATAGTGATACTGGGTGCCAAAAGTGTTCTCCTGTCTCGGGGAACTCGTCAATATCAGTCAGACAGACGTCTGTCTGTCAGCCGAATCCAGCAGCACAGAAGACACTCTGAGAGTCAGATCTGCTTTTGCTATGTGCTCTTACGTTCTCAATAGAGCAAGTGGTGGAAATCCGCGGTCTCCCGGTGTCGTAAAACGTGAGCTTTGGGATGCACTAGTGTAGTTCGTCGAAGTGTTCGTGAATGGGAAGCGTACGGGGCATTTCCCCACCGTTATGTTGTATTTTTTATTTTTTTGCCAATTTTGTATTCCAGTGTGTCGTGATCAAATGTAAATAACAAATGGCCTTTTTATTTATTACTCTTATGTCCGTAATTGCACATCAAGTTGTAAGAACAAAAAGGGATGATTGTGCTTATTAATGTTGGTGGAAATAAAACATTTTCTGTTATTTCTTACTTGTTGTGATTGTCATTTTTGTTAAAATTTTATCAATGCAATGGAACTGACTTGTTATTTTCCAAAATATGAGAAATAGGGACAGTACTATATGACAGTCGAGACGATGGTGCTGTTTAATGTATTATTATTACTGGTAATGTAAATAAAGTGCATTGACAGAGGGACTACGGGCAAGGTGAAGTGTCTAGACCGAGCGGGGTGTAGGTGCTCGCCGTGTTCAGCTTTGACAACCCCTGGATTAGCTCCCAAACACACAAAACACGGCATTAACGAAGAGCCAGTTTTTTTTTTCTTCTTCCATTTGGAGGCGTGGTGACAGCCGACGGCGGGGGGATGTAAAAACCGGCCGTTTACCTGCCCCCTAAGCTGAGAGCAAACAAACAGTAGCTTTTTAAGGTGTGCATGACAACGGAGGTGGGGGCTTCTCAAGAGTCTGAAAGGTCCCTTTCAAAATGCAGCTAGTCCAGAAAGAAGTCACAGAAAGCCCCGATATTAAAAAGTAGCCTGTACAAGTACGACACTGACGTACGTTCAGTAAATGAATTAGCAAATTGTAGTGTTGAGATCCCATTTGATGGTCTGTCAGGCATAAAAAGTAAAGTTATTGACGAGGACTTCTGGATGCGTTTTGGCACAGGATCTGCGGCATTCCTTCGCTGATTTCTGTGCCCTATTTTGACCATTAGAGGGCGCCAGTCCACTAACAGCATGCATCCCCCGACAAGGCAAAGAGAGAAGGGGAAACCCCACTCAAGGGCAACTACAGGGCTCACTGTATGTATACCGTGCTCTTCACGAAAATCTCATTGATGTAAACTCACAGTGGGAGATGTGACAGTAATGGCATACTTTCCTTTTAATAAAACGTTTTCCTCCAAAAAAATGTCATATTGAAAACCTGCCCTCTCAATAAAAACCTTAATAAATGTGTCCACACAATACCAGACTTACAATTCCAGTCTTCCGGGCACTTTCCTATTACTCCATAGTGTAATAATTCCCATTAGCGAAGCGTTGTCTTTACACTTGGCCAGCAATTCAGTGAAGCAGGTAATTCCATCCCAAAGAATCCGTCTAAATACGCATGCAATTATAATTCCGCCCCTCCGGTTTCAGCACGGCTCGTCCCTCGGCATGACCACGTGTTAGAAGAAATGAGAAGCATCGTAATCCTCTTCATGGACCGTTTGACCGGAACATCGCCCGTGAGCAAACAGATCGTTACGAGACACCTCGTTTTCTTTGTTTTACGTCCAAAGTCATCAAGTAATAATGAGGCACATAAATGTATAATGTAAAAAAAAAGATGGAGCTGCTTCATTAAATGTGTGTGTGTGTGTGTGTGTGTGGGTGTGTGTGTGTATATATATACTGCTCAAAAAAATGAAAGGAACACTTTGGAAACACATCAGATCTCAATGGGAAAAAAAGTCATGCTAGATATCTATACTGATATGGACTGGGTAATGCGTTAGGAACAAAAAGATGCCACATCGTTTGATGGAAATGAAAATTATCAACCTACAGAGGGCTGAATTCAAAGACACCCCGAAAATCTAAGTGAAAAAATGATGCAGCAGGCTAGTCCTTTTTGCTGAAAATTCATTGCAGCAACTCAAAATCGTACTCAGTAGTTTGTATGGCCCCCACGTGCTTGTAGGCATGCCTGGTAATGTTGGGGCATCCTCCTAATGAGATGATGGATGGTGTCCTGGGGGATCTCCTCCCAGATCTGGACCAGGGCATCACTGAGCTCCTGGACAGTCTGAGGTGCAACCTGGTGGCATCGGAAGGACCGAAACATAATGTCCCAGAGGTGTTCCATTGGATTTAGGTCATGCAAACGTGGGGGCCCGTCAATGGTATCAATTCCTTCATGCTCCAGGAACTGCCTGCATACTCTCGCCACATGAGGCTGGGCATTGTCGTGCACCAGGAGGAACCCAGGACCCACTGCACCAGCGTAGTGTCTGACAATGGGTCCAAAGATTTCATCCTGATACCTATTGGCAGTCAAGGTGCCGTTGTCTAGCCTGTAGGGGTCTGTGTGTCCCTCCATGGATATGCCTCCCCAGACCATCACTGACCCACCACCAAACCGGTCTTGCTGAACAATGTTACAGGCAGCATAACGTTCTCCACGGCTTCTCCAGACCCTTTCACGTCTGTCACATGTGCTCAGGGTGAACCTGCTCTCATCTGTGAAAGGCACAGGGCGCCAGTGATGGACCTGCCAATTCTGGTATTCTATGGCAAATGCCCATCGAGCTCCACGGTGCCGGGCAGTGAGCACAGGGCCCACTAGAGGATGTCGGACCCTCAGGCCACCCTCATGAAGTCTGTTTCTGATTGTTTGGTCAGAGACAGTCACACCAGTGACCTGCTGGAGGTCATTTTGTAGGGCTCTGGCAGTGCTCATCCTGTTCCTCCTTGAACAAAGGAACAGATACTGGTCCTGCTGATGGGTTAAGGACCTTCTATGGCCTTGTCCATCTCTCCTAGAGTAACTGCCTGTCTCATGGAATCTCTTCCATGCCCTTGAGACTGTGCTGGGAGACACAGCAAAACTTTTGGCAATGACACATCAATATGCGCCATCCTGGAGGAGTTGGACTACCTGTGCAACCTCTGTAGGGTCCAGGTATCGCTTCATGCTACCAGTAGTGACACTGACTGTAGCCAAATTCAAAACTAGTGAAAAAACAGTCAGAAGAGATTAGGACGGAAAAATGTCAGTGGCCTCCACCTGTTGAACCATTCCTGTTTTGGGGGTCGTCTCATTGTTGCCCCTCTAGTGCACCTGTTGTTAATTTCATTAACACCAAAGCAGCTGAAACTGATTAACAACCCCCTCTGCTACTTAACTGACCAGGGGAATATCCCAGAAGTTTGACTTAATGCTTTACTCTGATTAAAAAGTGTTCCTTTAATGTTTTTGAGCAGTGTGTGTGTGTATATATATATATATATATATATATATATATATATATATATATATACACA